AAAGAAGGGATTGATGGCGAAGGAGGAGTAGGCAATCCAGGTGACCACCATCTCCCCGTGCCCACCGCCCACCGTGCCAGTGGTGACAGAGGAGTGCAAGTGGAAAGCGAAGAAGGGCAGCCAACAGCACAGGAACTGTCCTACAATGAGGACCAAGGTGAGGATGGCCTTGTTGCTTCCCAAAAAGCGCTCTGGCATCAGCCTGGGCAGTGGCAGGTTCCTGGTGGTGATGATGGTCACTTGGCTAGCAATGGAGTCGGATCGGTGTCTCGGTGCAGCTGCCTGTGCTGGCATGGGCACGTGCTGCAGCGATGCCATCCGGGCCACACGGTAGACACTGCAGTAGACAGCAAAGATGATGATGGTGGGCAGGACGAAGCAGACAATGCTGAAGATGATCACAAAAACCTTCTTGTGGGCCCCAGGGCTCCAGTAGACTGTGCAGCGGCTGGGGGGGGGGGGGGGCACGCGGCTCGGCCCGTAGACTGTGCAGCGGCTGGCACTGGTGGCCCGATTGCCTTGAGGCCAGCCCACCAGTGCCAAGACAGTGATGAGAACAGACTTGACCCAAATGAAGATCACTCCGGCCACTGCCAGTCTGATGGTCATCTTGACCTCATACCTCATGGGGTGGACGATGTAGTAGTACCGCTCCACGCTGATGATGGAGATGGTGAGGATGGAGGCACTGATGAAGCAGACATTTAGGAATATCAAGGCCTGGCACTCGGCAATGCTGTAGATCACTCTGTTGAAGCAGGAGGAGCTGGAGATGATCCCCAGGGGCATGAGGAAAATGGCAGAGAGGAGGTCAACCACGCAGAGGTGGCAGACGAAGATGAACTTCCTGAGAACGGGGGTTTTGAGAATGACGACCATCACCACGGTGTTGGCCACCAGGGCCGTGAGGGTGAGGAGGACCATGCAGAGGAGGCCCACCACCTCCTGAGCGATGGACTGCTCGGGGATGGAGAGTGGCTCTAGGCTGTCCGTGGTGTTCCGCCCCGTTCGGCTCGCCATCCCCCCGAGGGCTAAGCCAGCAGCTCCGGTGCCTGGGCAGTAAGGGCTCTTCTCCTGCGCCCCTTAGAGCGAAACCCCGC